ATCATCCCCACAACATGATGCTGCCACCACCATGCTTCACGGTGGGCTGGTGTGCTCAGGGTGATGTGCAGTGTTCATTTTCCACCACACATAGTGTTTTCCACTTGTTTGCTGTGTCCCTCACATGGCTTCTTGCAAACGGGACTTCTTATGGCTTTCTTTCTACAATGGCTCTCTTCTTGCCACTCTTCCATAAAGGCCAGATTTGTGGAGTGCACAACTAATAGTTGTCCTGTGGACAGATTGTCCCACCTGAGCTGTGGATCTCTGCAGCTCCTCCAGAGTTACCATGGGCCTCTTGGCTGCTTCTCTGATTAATGCTCTCCTTGCCCAGCCTGTCAGTTTAGGTGGACGGCCATGTCTTGGTAGATTTGCAGCTGTGCCTTACTCTTTCCATTTTCGGATGATGGATTGAGCAGTGCTCCATGAGATGTTCAAAGCTTGGGATTTTTTTTTTCAATAACCTAACCCTGCTTTAAACTTCTCCGCAACTTTATCCCTGGCCTGTCTGGTGTTTTCCTTGGCATTCACGATGCTGTTTGTTCACTAATGAGGGCTTCACAGAACAGCTGTATTTATACTGAGATTACATTACATAACACATAGGTGGACTCCATTTACGAATTAGGCGACTTCTGAAGGCAATTGGTTCCATTAGATTTTAGTCAGGGGTATCACAATAAAGGGGGCTGGATACAAATGCACACCACGCTTTTCAGATATTTGTAAAAAATTTTGAAAACCATTTATAAATTTTCCTTCCACTTATGTGCCATTTTGTGTTGGTCAATCACAATAAAATACATTTACGTTTTTGTTTGTAACATTAAAAATGTGCACATTTTAAAAGGAGTATGAATACTTTTTCAAGGCACTGTGGAATGCATTAAGGTAAAAACCCTGAGCCTTTACGAACCATAACCACTTTATAAATCTATTAATTTTCATACACATTAAAAGCTAAATTTTTTGCTGCAAAATTACTTAAAACTGCATTTTTTATTTTGCAAGTTATCTGCCCAAGTGTTTATCAAATCTATATTTTCATGAAAAAAAGCACACTAAAAATGGAATATTTTGTTGTGTTTGTGTGTACTAAAATTATTTTTTTTTTCATAACATATTAAAAAAATGGGGTTGCATTGCTTTAACAGAAACAACGCTTCAAACCCTTTTCAGTTCATCACACAGGACTTTTTTCTAGGTGTTTGACTGGCTCGCATTACTCCCTGAATATGTCTTGGCCTTTGAAAGCAGAGTCTCTTGACTGGATTACTTCTGTTATGTGCCATTGTGGGCTGGATGACAGCCCACAGTGGATAAGGTGCATATGACAAGCGCTTTAACTCCTTATCAAATGTTGTTTTTACCAATAAATGTGAGGGGTTTTTTTTTTTTTTCTACTGCACTTCGATGCACCCTCTGCTGTTCCTTTTTGTCGTTTTAGAGATTCTTCCAGATGTGCCACACATGACCTTTATGAACTCTTTGTTAAGCATCCATTTTAGAGGAGTTACTGTTTGACAACTTGCACCACAATATAGCGTGTTTATCATTTACAATTGTCTCTTTGTAGACAAAGGGTTAAATTACTTATCAGGCTGTGAGCCTTCACCTTAACAAAATCTAATGTGAACTGTGGAAAAACACCATATTTAAGATACTCCTGTTCAAATAGAAATCTTGTTTGCCCCCCACCAGCAAAAGCAAAGTAAAAATCGCAGTACTTTCAGGTATAGGGAGCATGTAAATTACTCTTCTACCTCCCATGTGAGAGAATTAATGCTTGATTATTGACCGCATGGCCAATCATTGTGTGATGAATGTGCACAAGTAGCGAAATTCACACAAACATTTGCAGTTTACATTTCACCATGTACAGTATAGAAAAAATCTAATCAGAGACTGCACCAAACAAGTTTGCATAAAATAGCCTGATTTGACCTTGGTCTCAATGCTGTTAAAAATAGATGTACTAGAATATTTATTGCACAGTTACCTCACCCTACAGTAAAAGTGCATGTCCAGGAAATGAAAAAATAAAACAAATAAAGCACACATTCCAGTGCTTACTTTTTGATAATTACTATCCACCTGCCTTTGCCTGCACACCAGCCAGCTCCCTCCCCCCAAGATTAAGATAAAAATGAGAAAAGGCTATAATCTTGGTTTGATTTCTTTGTCCCTACTGAGGAAAGTTTTGTTTCTCAGATTTTAACTGCTATTCATGGAGGATATTTTTCTTCTGGTCTGACACCAGCCACCAGGATAAAACATGAAGAGAAATCTGCCTAATTGCGATGTGGACTGTAATAAATCCTGGATTGTTCTAAACACTTCTTGTTCTAAAATGTTTTTATTACTGTGTGTCCCTGTTGAGGGAATACATTTCACTTCCAGCACTGCCTGCCAACTGTAAAATAGACAAGAAGCAAGGACATTTTCCCTGTTCAGTCAGACAGGAAGTAAAATCCTCAGAACACAGACAGTAATAAAGAGTTAAAGTATTACCAAACCCAAAACAGTAAAATCAGTCTGTATATGCAGTAAAGCATGCTTGTTATACTCACTGTGGAACCTAAGGGGTTAATCTTTCCCATTTCGTAAAAAGGATATTTGATCCTCTCTGCTCTGATTATCCCCTTCTTCTGCTGTCCCCAATATATCTCCTGATAGCACAGATGCTTGGAGGCAAGCTGCACATGCTCAGCTTTGTGTGTATTGCTAGAGTGTTTTTTTTTTCTTGGGAGAGTGCATGTGATCAGCACAAGGCCAATCAGCACTGTCCAGACAGAGGAAAAGAGGTTTCACATCCTCCTAGAGCAAAAAGAAAACTCCTACAAGCTTTAACCAGTGCTCTGTTGAAGTCACAAGACTGCTCTAACTGCTGATGAGAAAAGGTATTTAGCAGTTTATATTTACTAAAATAATTGCACTTTCATGTTCTGTGTACTGTGGGAGACCAGAAGTAGTGAATGCAGGATCCTGGGTTTAGTAACACTTTAACAGAAGTTCTGATGCTTCCAAATTTATCTAGACCTTCAGTATCTACAAGAACAAAAGTGTAATATATTACAGCTTGCCAGCCATTAGATGTGATATGTTTAAGGTCAAGTGCACTTTCTGCAGGTACACAAAAAATAACCTGCTGGTCATGTCAGAATTCCAGTGTTCTTGTACCTTCCTGTGGACTAAACTGAAAAGTTTACCAACTTTATCAGCCATCTTCTGTTAAAGTATAACTAAAGGCAAAAGTTATTTTTTAGTTTTGGACAGAGTGATGAGGGATTAGAAAATACCAAATGCCCCGCTGTTTCTGATTTCAGAATTCTGGATCCACATACTTGTTGCAGATCTGTGTCCACGTTAAAGTAATAGGATCAGCACAATCCAGGCAGCTAGCATTTTCAAAAGAAGAGGTTAGTAAGAGCAGCCTACATATTTATCTTACTATAGGATTTCTTTAACTCTGAGCATCATGAGCACCAGTTTTTTTGCTTACGATTCCTGTAAACAACACACATTTTTTTTTGGTTGGTGTATACACAATTTTTTTTTGTTTTGCTTGTAAAAACTTTGGCTAACAACTGGTTTTCTTTTACACTTTAAATACAAATATCACAGTATACATAGAGCAGAAACATGAAAACTGATGCGGAACAAAATGTGGCACACCACTCAGAAATGGAGAAACCATGTTCAATGAAATGCCATGTCTGAGATTTTAATCAAGAACTTTTTTAAGTAGTTTCCTTTTAGATTTGATTTATTGAAATTTTAAAAAATATTGTTAAAGGGAGCTGAAACTGCGGTTATGCTTTTAGTCCTGGTTCACAATAATGGGTTTTTGCAGAAACGCACTACAGTCCATTTAACATGGTTTCCTATGGGACATGTTCACAAATATGCTTTTTGAGCGGCTTTATTTTTGGAAAGGGTCAGGGACTTTTTAAAGCAAAAAGCAGCATTTTTGTTACAATAGAGTTCAATGGAGAAGCTACAGAAACGCATGTTATGCATTTTTGTTCTGCCCAGCAACAAAAAAATTCCACTTTAACAAAAAAAAAACAAAAAAGATAAAAAAAAAAAAACGTGGGAAAAATGCACTGCAGAAAAAGGACAAAAAACGGACAAAAAGCACACTGAATTGGAGAAACAGGCCTTAAAGTGGCAGGCAAAAGCAAACAGGATGTCTGCAGTTTTCAGGCTGGCCATACACTATGCAATTTTCTGTCCAATTTCTGCCCAACTTCTTTTAGATTTACCTTCAACTATGTAGTGCAAGATCCTGCCTAATTGGATCCAGTTGCAAGTGTTGTTAGGTTTGATCTCCTATTATATAGTTTTTGGTAAATCTAAACCAAAAATCTCAAGAAAATTGTATAATGTATGGCCAGCCTTAGCTGGCTGCATGCTTGTTAAAAAGTTAAATTGATGCACCAGGATGACCGCAAAAAAAGTCAACAATGGGAGGACCTATATTTCAGCCTGATACACACGATGACAACATTGGATGAACGATAATTCATTTTTTTGTTTTGGTTTGGGTTTTTTTTTTTTTTTTTTTGTGCATACTAGCCGAAAATTAAGAGGTTACTAAAAATTCTCGTAAGACAGAATACAACTTCGGAAGTGATGTAATGTATTGCATTGTATTGTAATGTATTCTTTCATTTCCAAGCATGTGCAGTCTTGAGTCACTCAATGTTTTTCGTACAAATACTATACTGATCACACGAAAATATTTCCTTCTGTTATCTTACAGGAAAGGTTTTCGTGCTTGTCCCTTTGGATAATTTTGCATGAACTGTCGTGATCGGCTCTCAAAAGCTGTATAACGAATAGATTATCAGACAATCGCTCTGAAAACATCGTGTTTTTCAGGCTTTATTCTGAAACATGTTTGAAAGCTTCGTGCACTCACTGTACGGCTTAATATTATTCAAACTGTGTTTAGCGTTTGCTCATTTTTTTTTTTTTATGGACCTCCATTCACTCACTTTCCAATGGTTCTTTCTCCATGTTAGATTTCTCAACTTCGTCAAACCGCCCCTGGGGTGTTTTTGGTTTTTTTAAAGGTGTTTTTTTAGAGTTGTTACTTTCTTGTGAGACACTGCTAGTAGCTCTGACAAAACTCCAGACTGCAGTGTAAGCTGCAAAGGAAAAAGACAAAACTGATTAAAATTTTCATTCATTGGTTTGTTCAAATATATATAGCCAAAAACGGTTTTAGTTCATCTAGTGTAGTATTATACTCTAATGAAGTTAGAGTGCATTCAATGTTCAAATAGAGGATGTGGAGAAGGTTAAATGAAGATTTTATTCAGTAGTGGTTTATTTGATCCAGTAGTACTGCTTATGCATGAATTGTTTACCCCCATCCTTCATAGAAGTTGTAAGGTGCTGTATTGTCCTTATATTGTTAATTCTCACAAACCACTGTGCAACTGTTGGAGGAAAGAAGTTATTCCATGGGGGGGGGGGGGTATACACACCTTGGCTGCGTTACGTTGAGCAGAATGTTTGTAGACATTCCTACCTGAATCAGAAAACCCACAGTTTCTGCCAAAACCCAAGTTTTGTGAGAAAGCGTGGTTGAGACATGACTCCACTGTCCTAACAACCAAAAATTTTGAGCAGCAGGAGCTGCCTAAATCCTAGAAACTAAGGATACTGAGCCCTTCTTTAAAATACATGGCCTGTACCTTTACATGATGAAGAGCTAGTGTTTTTTTTTTTAGAACACCAGATTACCAACACTATGGTCATGTTAGTACTAACATGCCACTTTGGATTACTACTAAGCCCAAATAAAAATCAGATGGCAATTGTATGATTTGCAAAGCTTTTATTAGGACATTCAAATTCTTATGGAAAAGTTTCCTGACTCTGAAAAAGCAGTTCTCACTGAAAACTATGTTCAGTTTATGCAGCTCATCATTGGTAGATACATATTTATGAATCAGTTCCTATTTTTGAATTCAGCAACCTATAACAATCAGAACTGATTTTCTGAAGCTGTTGTGTGTTACTGCATATAAAATTTAGCCTTGCAGGAAATTTACAAATTTGCATGAATTATATATATATATATATATATATATATATATATACATACATATATATATATATATATACACACACACACACACACATAAATATCGAGTTTTTTTAAGCTATATCCTTTATCAATTGAAAAAAAATAAATCAATCATTCAGCTTCAGACTATCTTTGTCAGAAGCATTTCCTCAGTCTCCCCTCCCCCCAGTGATCACATATAAATATTGGAACTGTGAGGCATAAGACAGTGGCAGAGGGCTGATTTTTGTCATACATTTATGAACACAGCCAAGAACTGCACCAGGAATTAAATGAGAGCTGTACATCACAAAAAGAAATAAATAAAGCTGCTGCAGCTGCAATACTCACCTTTAATTCAAAGTAGTTCCCCCAGTACTACTTTTCTGCCACTAGATGTCTGGAGTCTCTTGGGCTGACACTGAAGATAGCTGTCAAAACACACAGCTTTCCTGGACTTTCTGAGGGCAGGTAAATACAGCCTTCAGAAGAGTTTCAATGAAAGCAAGTAGTTACCGCATAAGGTACAGAGGCAAAAAATATTAAGGCATCTGAAGTAATACAAAGTAATGTGTCTGGAGTTGGGCTTTAAGAATAAAACCTCTTTATTGAATAAGGCTAATGGTGATTTTCTGTTTTTAAATACCAGCCTACCGGAACTCTTTTCTGAGATCATATTAATAGTTTGTATAGGCTGGGAAACATTTCTGTTGATTAGCAACTGATCATCAAAATTGGTAATCAAATTTAAAGCCACTAAAGGCAGATGCTCTATAATTGCACACCTGTTTCTACTTTTATCTACCAATTGCTCAGAATCAACATGGGAGCCAGACCGACGCACTATACAGCTGTGGTCATCAAGGCACATACTGGGGGGGGGGGGGGGGGGGGTGTTGACAAATCTTGAAACACTGAGAAAAAAGGGCAAATTTCTATATGCACACCTATTTATTGTTCTATAGGCTGAATAAATGAGTGTTGCATGGCATTCGTTAAAATGTGTAGTGACAGGTCCTCTTTATGGAGAGATATGGGGTCCATAAGACCCCTCATTTCTCCTCTACAATGTAAAGCATTAGATAAAAAAAAGCAGTGATCTAGTGCTTAAAAAAAAAAAAAAAAAAAAAAAAAAAAAGGCCTCCGGAACCAGAAGTGACATCACTCCAGTCCTCCAAGGGCACAGAGATGAGTGGAGGCCATCTTTCCTTCACTAATCTCTATGCTCAGCGCCGGGATCGTTCGATGGTTTGTCAGGTAATGCTGAGAACTACCACGACGGCAAGGGGCGGGTTTTTTTCGGCACCTGTATCGGCCGATAGGGGTGTTTTCGGCCACCAAAATTTCAGTGCACCCCAACTGTTTACATCCGACTACCTCTGAGACTGTCTAGGTTCAAAAAAAAAAAAAAAAAAAAAAAAAAAAAAAAAAGGGGGGGGGCTTTTTTTTTTTTTTTGTACACAAGCATGATGGATTGGAGGTAAAGGGATGTACAGTCAGGTCCATAAATATTGGGACATCGACACAATTCTAAATTTTTTGGCTCTATACACCACCACAATGGATTTGAAATGAAACGAACAAGATGTGCTTTAACTGCAGACTGTCAGCTTTAATTTGAGGGTATTTACATCCAAATCAGGTGAACAGTGTAGGAATTACAACAGTTTGCATATGTGCCTCCCACTTGTTAAGGGACCAAAAGTAATGGGACAATTGGCTTCTCAGCTGTTCCATGGCCAGGTGTGTGTTATTCCCTCATTATCCCAATTACAATGAGCAGATAAAAGGTCCAGAGTTCATTTCAAGTGTGCTATTTGCATTTGGAATCTGTTGCTGTCAACTCTCAAGATGAGATCCAAAGAGCTGTCACTATCAGTGAAGCAAGCCCATCATTAGGCTGAAAAAACAAACCCATCAGAGATAGCAAAAACATTTAGGCGTGGCCAAAACAACTGTTTGGAACATTCTTAAAAAGAAGGAACGCACCGGTGAGCTCAGCAACACCAAAAGACCCGGAAGACCACGGAAAACAACTGTGGTGGATAACCGAAGAATTCTTCCCTGGTGAAGAAAACACCATTCACAACAGTTGGCCAGATCAAGAACACTCTCCAGGAGGTAGGTGTATGTGTGTCAAAGTCAACAATCAAGAGAAGACTTCACCAGAGTGAATACAGAGGGTTCACTACATGATGTAAACCATTGGTGAGCCTCAAAAACAGGAAGGCCAGATTAGAGTTTGCCAAATGACATCTAAAAGAGCCTTCACAGTTCTGGAACAACATCCTATGGACAGATGAGACCAAGATCAACTTGTACCAGAGTGATGGGAAGAGAAGAGTATGGAGAAGGAAAGGAACTACTCATGATCCTAAGCATACCACCTCATCAGTGAAGCATGGTGGTGGTAGTGTCATGGCGTGGGCATGTATGGCTGCCAATGGAACTGGTTCTCTTGTATTTATTGATGATGTGACTGCTGACAAAAGCAGCAGGATGAATTCTGAAGTGTTTCGGGCAATATTATCTGCTCATATTCAGCCAAATGCTTCAGAACTCATTGGACGCCGCTTCACAGTGCAGATGGACAATGACCCAAAGCATACTGCAAAAGCAACCAAAGAGTTTTTTAAGGGAAAGAAGTGGAATGTTATGCAATGGCCAAGTCAATCACCTGACCTGAATCCGATTGAGCATGCATTTCACTTGCTGAAGACAAAACTGAAGGGAAAAATGCCCCAAGAACAAGCAGGAACTGAAGACAGTTGCAGTAGAGGCCTGGCAGAGCATCACCACAGATGAAACCCAGCGTCTGGTGATGTCTATGCGTTCCAGACTTCAGGCTGTAATTGACTGCAAAGGATTTGCAACCAAGTATTAAAAAGTGAAAGCTTGATTTATGATTATTCTGTCCCATTACTTTTGGTCCCTTAACAAGTGGGAGGCACATATGCAAACTATTGTAATTCCTACACCGTTCACCTGATTTGGATGTAAATACCCTCAAATTAAAGCTGACAGTCTGCAGTTAAAGCACATCTTGTTCGTTTCATTTCAAATCCATTGTGGTGGTGTATAGAGCCACAAATGTTAGAATTGTGTCGATTATGTCCCAATATTTATGGACCTGACTGTATGTCCATTTGCATCACAGACCTAATATAGGTCCATTACAAGATATAGGAAAAACCAGAATGGCTGTGGATGTTACAAAACAGACCTTGGTTCAGTTCTACTACTCCGTTTCAGCAGAAGATCTGTTCATGAATCTCCTGCTGATGGGAACAGATGCCGCTCATCTGAAATGACACTACAAAGCTATGAATTCAACTTCCTGGTTGTCTATCACATTGACCGTTTCAACTCCACATCTCATTGGCATACAATTACACAGTGTATCTCCTCTTCAGTCTATGACTGCTGCTGCTAGACTCATCCACTTTTCCAGCTGCTCAGTATCTGCCACCCCTCTCTGCAGATCCCTCCACTGGTTTGACATCACCCAATGATAAATTCAAAAATGCTAATAACATACAAAGCCATCCACAGAACCGCCTCCAGCTACATCGGCCAACCTCCCCTCAAAAGATTACCCAAACCATCTTCTTCAGTCCTGCCAATACTTCCTGCTCTCTAGGTTCCCTCATCACCCCTTCCTCTGCTCATCATCAGGACTTCTCTATCCCTCTGGAACTCCTTACTCCCATCTCCCAGCTATCTCCTACTCTGTCTGCCTTTAGGTGATCTCTGAAAACGCATCTCTTCAGGGAAGCCTAGCTCACTTTTACTTTCTCCATCAGCTCATCCCACAGGTATTACCTTTTGTATCATCACTTGCCCCTTTTTGCTTTTAAGATAACAATCATGTTATACTTACCTGCTGTGCGCAGTGGTTTTGCAAAGAGCAGCCCCAATCCTGTTCTTGCAGTTTCTGCTAAGTCTCTTATTATATGGGCACTCGTCGTGTGCTTGCTCCCAAGCCACACAATGCAGCTCAGCCCCACCCCCACTCTCTCCTCACTGGCTGTGCTTTACAACAGAAGCCAATAGCTACCACTGCTGCCAAGCCTC